CAGGGTGTGATGCTAAAAGGCAAACTACCGGAAAAAATTCAGAATGGCAAGATCATTTACAAATGAAGGAAGGAGCCCTTCCTGGAATTCCACTCCAGCTAAGAGGAGCCGAGGGCGGCTTCTGTTTTCTCTCTGTTCTGTTTCTGGATCACTGTGGGCTCCCTTTCCAATAGAACAAGTTTAACTGCTTTCATAATTTTCAATTTATTAGAACATTAGTAGTACATGACTAGATCATATAATTAACAGATAAAGTTTAAAAACATACCTACTAAAAAGCAATTTTGGAAGATACGCATACATACATATACACATAACGCTGGTTGCATCACAGTTGTACAAAAATGGTGCAATTTCACATGCCAGTGGGATTTCAGTTAAAAATACCAATGTGTGTATTTTTTTCCCTCCCAGATAAACATTAGAAATGCTGAGAAAGTCAGCACAATAAATAAAGCGTTTGCTGAAGTTCAGAAAGAAGTACAGCAGCTATCAAAAGGCGCTGCAGCAGAACCTCAGAAGAGTCATCAGGTAATTTCCCTTTGTAAAAATCCGAGGAGGTAAATGAAAGGAAAATGCATGTTCAGAGCACTATATTCTGGCTCTAAGACTGCTGGCAATTCATGCAGTTGCTTTAAAACTATAAACCCAGCTTTATTAATTTCATTTGTGTGGTAATGTTGAAATCTGTTTAGCATATTCAAGCCCTGTATAACTACTAAAGTCAAGAAGGAAAATGGTGGGCATCAAAGCTGGAACATGCTTACAAAATGTATTTTTAAACCCTGTTCTAGCTGGTTTTTAATTGATTTTTCAAAAGTTAATTCCAGCTCTAGCCCCTTGATTTGAGACTTACGCCTCTGCATGCCTACACAGAAAGTAAGGATGAACCTTGCTGTTCCCTACCTGAAGCACCTAATAGTGCTTTGAACCAGACAGCTCTGCCTCTTTCTGTGCCCGATTCCTAAGCCTTCATATTCCCTCATCAGAAGTACCAACACCTGAAACAGCAATTTCTGTTCTAGAGCTCTTGCCTGTAGCACTTAGGGTTCAAGATAGTGTTTCACTTGTCTTCTTTTGTCTACTTTGTTAAACAGGGCTACATGCAGTCTTAAGCAAGAAATAATTCACAGAATTTAACTGCAGACAAGCTCCTCCGTCTAAGCTCTTTATGCTGACTCTTCCTGCTGCCCTGGGCATGGGTTAGGGGAGAGGGAAAGCAGTGGGCGAGGATGAAGCACGGTTGAATCCATCCTGGCTGTTGGGGGAAGTGGACATGAGTTGAGTTTTGTTTACTGTGCCTGGGGTGATCAAGCTGCTGTACAGCTGGGAGCGACACAAGGCGTGTCAGATACCTTAAGGAGGGGCTGAGGGGAGCAATGGAGCACAGGTGACAGTGCCACCAGCATGGGGTGAGCCCAGGTAAGGATTTCAAGGCAGTTGGTGCCAGTGGCCCTGTCCCTGCTGGTTTGCTACTGCACGCAGCCAGGAATTGAGCCTGCACCACTGCTCATGTGCTGGCAGGGCTGTGCACACATAATGTTGAATTTGACGAGTTGGGCTCTAATAGTATTTTGTCCAAGGGCTCTAATAGTATTTTGTCCAAGGATGCAAAATTATGTTGTCAAGAGCATTTCCTGAACTAAAAGCTGAGTCTGTTTCCATTTAGCCATGTGTGTTACGTTACTGGCATGATGCTTGGTCTTCCTCCTGCAGCACAGAGTAGCGGCTGAAGTTTAGTGAGTCCTGTAATCCCCCAAATTACTGAATTATGACTGCAAAGTTAGCCTAAATGTATAGACAAACTAATCTTCTAGACAACGGGTATTTACTATGTTTTTTTTTTTTTCCAAGCAGAGTAAGAAGATACTGCTTTCTACTTTAAACTGTAACTCATTTTTTTTCAGGCTTCCACACATGTGGAAGAGGAACCAGCAAACGTAGATGCTGCCACAAGCCTGCTGTCTCAGTTGTAATGGATAATGGACAAGGAAGGGATTGCAAGAAATGAAGATCAAAAATACTGATGGCTTTGTTTGTACAATTTTATTAAAAAAAATCTTGTTAATATACAAGTATTGGCACACTTTAATACAAACTACAAACAGACCTTTCCTATCATCTAGGAAAGTGGAATGTCAGAAGTCAGTGTGAGAAACTTAAAGTGCTAAAACAGAAGGCACTTCACAAAATCGGTTCACTGAAACAATTTAGCATAACTCAAGTTGATACCCTTCACTTTTCAGCTTGGCAGTGAAAGCTTCAAAATTGATTGAAAAGTTAAAAAAAAATATATAGAAAGCTTCTTGGCAGTAAAGCTTCAACGAAAATGCTGTTAACTGTGAGCAAGAAGCCGAATCATTTTTTTAAAAACGATCAAAAGGCTATAAAGCATTTCCACTTTTCTTACTAAAGAAAACTCCAAATAATTGGATTACACAGAAGACACTCAGGTGAAAAAACGTGCCAGAATTTTTCACAAAAGCCCTTTGTTCTGGTGGTTGAATTTGTTTTGTGAAGTAGTTAAAGGAAGCAAAAGGAAATATACTCCCAGAGTCAGTGAACTAAGAAGTTATACATTCATTATTCAAATACTTGGGTTATGAAGAAGTCTAGAATGTTATAGTTAGAGGTAGATAAGTAGTCTGGTTGACACAATATCTAATAATTTAGTATCTGCACATCAAAGAGATCACAGACTCCTTCATTATCATCCAGGTTAAAGTTGTAGTCATCTCCGGGAGTAGGAGAGAGTCGTAAGAGAGGAAAAACTGTAAAGCAGGAATAGTTTAGTGTAAATTAAAACACTTTTGGAATATCAGCCCTATCTCATAATTCAGTATGTTTGTCATCACCAGTAGCACGGTTAGTCTTAATAATTAAAATAGTCTTGATAATCTGACAAGCATGCTGGGATACATCCTGTGAATACCTGTACTGCCTTCAAACTAAGGCAGTAAGTGACACCTCTACATGTTTTGCTTAGTATTTTAAGTGAATTTGCTGAAATGGAGCAATAGCTGCGGAACATGGACTTTATTTCTCCTTCTGCAGCAAAGGAGCTCCTGAGCAGCTTTTGAAACTTTCCTCAGAAAGCTATCATTTATATTTATATTCCTTTGTCTTGTCACAGTATTGCATATATCAGCCTTCAAATATTTATCATTTTAAGTAAGGAAGTTACCATTACCCCTGTCTCACAGATGAACAGTGGAGGCTAGCAGTTTCTCTGTGCACTGCCTTTCAAGCATGGACTTGGAAGTCGTCTTTGGGGAGGGAAGGCAAGAAGAGAAGCCTTGGCCCTCATGCTGCACCTCAGGAACACTAACCTAGTGCAGATGAGCTGGGCGTGCTGTACCTGCTCTAAGAGTGGAGACTATTTCCATTTTAGCCATGTGTTGGCACATTCACATAATCCCATCTTGCCCCTCAGCTCTTGTAATTACATGGTTCGTTCGGGATAAGCCCCGAGGCTGTCGGCTTGAAGGGCAGGTAACAGCAGAGGCTGCTCGCAGCAGCATACTCACAGGGCAGGAGGAACAACACCAGCTGATCACCTCTCTGCCTGGCACCTTAGCGAGATGGAGCAGAAAGGCAGGAAGCACGTGAACTTACGAGCTGTGGTTCAGTGCTGCACTCATGGCCACCGAGGTGCAAGAGCAAACGGGTGACATTTGTCTGTTCTGTCAGCATACCGCAGCTGGCCATGTGTCAAGTCTGCATGCAGGCATGTAAATACGCTCTGAAATGTTTACTCAAACCTGCTGCAGGAAGCCCGAGGTGGAACAGAATTAAACCTTTTTTTTTTTTTTTTTTTTTTAAGGCAGCATTCTAGTCATCAACCTGTTCTTTTTTTTTGTTCCTGAATTAAGGACTGGTGGGTTACTCATGCATGTAAGTGCTTGCTGGATTAAGGCTTTCACATTTTGATTGTTAAATAAAACTTGCAGGGAATGGAAAGGGGAGTAAAGACAGGAATGACAAAGATAGAGGAGGCAATTCAGGGAAAGAAGTAGTTCCATACTGACTCTTGGCATCAGATTTAACAGACACCTACCAAGAATGCTGTTCGCAAAAAACTCGTGCTGCTACTTGTGATTATTAGAAAAGTCAAGATGCTAAATACTTACCGTCAGAAGACATGAGTTCATCAATAATATCCCCACCGATATTTCCTGTGAAAGACGGGAGCATGTGTTTATGGAAGTCAACTCATATTCTCTGCATTAAAACACTGAATGGCAAAGTACAGTGTGGCTCACGTACAGCATAGGAGCTGTGGAGATAGCATGCCACGTATATGTAAAATATATTCATCTTTCTATCTCCCAGTTTTTCCTGATACGTCTCTCCCACTGATCCCCGATAACCCTAGAGCCATGTAGAATATGAAGCTTATTTGGTGGCAGAGAAAGGTATTCTGCTCAAAAGAAGTTTGCTACTCAGAGCTGGCTCAGTGGCTTCACTAGGAGACGAACAAAGGCTTGTCACTTCCTCTGTGTAACTCACCTGGTCACAAAGAAGGGCTCAGGAAACTAATGAAACCATTTAAACAGCAACTACTGCTTCCTACCTGCGGGCTCCTCCATCTTTGCTATGTCGAACGAGTTTGGCTTGAGAAGACAGTTAACATCCAGGGGCAGCAAGCTCTGGTAGTCATTTGAGCTAGCTGTGGCTTGGGCAACATCTCCTGAAAGGCTGGGGTACAACACCGACTCCGGAAGGCTGGAGTATGGAGCTGCTGGGGTTGTACTGCTCTGCTGCGCGCCGCTGTCTACAAAGGCAGAAAGGCACGTTACAAAGTCTGTTACGGTAAAAGGAAACACAGAACGCCTGCACCCGGCTTTGTCTTTTGAGGAGAACACGACCCATGTCTGGGATGAGGTGAGAGGAGTCTCCCCCTCCCAAAGTCACAGGCACAATTTGATCAGGACCCCTCAGAAATGCAGTCTCTAACACTGACACCATTTTCTTAAATCTTTTCCTCTTACCCTACTATTATTATGAAAAAAACCCCTGATATTCAGGCAGTCTCTCACTGTGGCTACGTGGAAGAAGGTAAGTGACCTTGTGGCACAAAAGCTGGAACTGGTGCCTGTATTATCTGTCTCATTAAAAGGTACATGTTCAAATCACGTTCTCCGTCAGAGGCTGGCAGTTTCGTTCCATACTGCATTCCGGAGAAGCAACTCAGAATAATTAACAGGACCACATCCAAAACCTGATAAGCTACGAGGGAAGAATCTGTTTTACCACACAGAAGAGGAAGATGTTTTTCTGTAACCTCTTGAGAGCTGTTAGTAAGCCCTTGGGGTAGTTTAACAGACAGCTGCTATGCTATGCAAATTCTTGATCTCTCCTTTATCTACCACCTTTTCTAACAGCTTCTGCTTTCCCTCCAGTTCCCCTCCTCGCCCACCCACCTGAGGTAGGAAAAACCCTGGTCCCACCTGATGGCGTGTCCGCAACTGATGTCTGCGGTAACTCTTGTCCTGGGTTCAGATCACGCTCTTCTGGTGGATTTTGAGGAGCTGCAGCAGGTTTCAGGGGAGTTGCTGGAGCTGCAGGTTGGGATGGGGGCTGTGCAAGGTCATCGGGCGGGGGAACTGGAAACACCATGGGCTTGGAGGAGCTTGACTCTTTATTTATAAGCAGCACATGGATAGGTCCTGAACTACTTTTAAGATTGATCTGGTATTTCTTCTGTCCATTCTGTCCCTGTAAAGGTGGTATATTACCAAAGTTACTGTTCCTTGAGAACTTGGAACTTTATAAAATGTGACAGTAACTGCACAGAGTTATTTCCCACAGAAGTTAATGAAGATGTTTGATCAGAATTCTCAAACTGAGGCACTTTTTACCTCTCAGAAGATAAATACAGTGCTCTTCTAATTACATCACTACAAAGAGCTGATAATTTGCACAAACTTAACAAATCATACCCAGGGAAAAAAATATTTAATACACAAGATCTAATAAAAACAAACCAACCAGATTACAAACCTGTAATGTATTGACCTGGCCAGAACACAGTTACAGAGGACATAAATATACAATTAGTCGGAGTGCTCAACTAAATCTTGAATTCAAGTTACATGAGACTTAGAGCAGGGCTACACCTTATCAATAACAACGATAAATAGTTTCTGTACATTTCCGTTTCTTCCTTTCAAACAGAGCTTCAGAACGATCCTGGTTGGGACCAAGCAACCTAAACCAGTTGGATATCTCACCCAGACTGAGTGAAAACAGGATCATGTGTCAGTGGAAACAATTCCTTAGCTGATTTGCCAGGCCGCCTTTTGGCAAGTTACTTCAGCAATACGGCCAGGCCTAGCTTCCTCTAGCAGTGTCTCAACGAGACCATTGACTCTGCAGTGGCTAATCCAGCAAACAGGTTTTCAGCAAATATGTTCTAGAAAAAATGAGGATGAGAAAAGCAGGAAGAGAGCCTCGGGGAAGGGGAACCGAAGCAAAAACATCCAATTTGAACTTGGTGATGAAGACTAAGACCGGCTGTTTTAGTCCTCGGCAAAAAGCCAGAAAAACCTCCCCCAACATCACAGCTGCTAACTTTGGTCCCACAGAGAACCTTACCATTGCCTGAACTGATTTCAGCAGGGACGGACAAAGATAGTACCACTGAGTAGCTTCATGGTTCTAGCTTTGGATGCTCTTACGATATCAGACTGTGCTTAGCCTCACTAAAAATAGCTTGTGAAACTTCTCAGGTGAATTTCAGCCTTCTACAAGCATAGTGGCTAGCATGCTTCACACAATGCTCTCTGCCAACTACGTAAACCCCATTTAAAACAGCACTGCAACAAAAAAAAAAATTAAAGATGGACAGAGGTATGTAATGTGGCCTCCTACTTTAATCTTGCCCATTCTTAAATGGGCCTTTTGGCTAAAGCTAGACTGCAGTCTGTTTCTCTACCCAGTCTAGCACCATGAGACTAAACATAAACTAAACCTACAACTAAACCTACAACTAAATCTAAAAGGCTTTTTCATAAGAGATCCATTTTAACAATACAAAAGAGGAATTTAACACATAAAAGTCATAGCTAGTAAGTTCTCAAGGGAATTCATGACAATTATGCCTCATTTGGAAAGTTCTAACATTTAAAGGCAGGAGAGAAGAGGAGAGGGCAAAGAAACCCACTATTATATCTTGTTTTTAATAGAAGACAGAGTTAACATTAGTCTATCTAGGTGTACAAACCCACTTTTCCCCACCCAGCCTCTCCCTTCTCAACTGAAACCATCTTAATTATTTCCCCCCCCCGCCTCTTGCACACAGATAAACCCTCCGCTCTAATGTAGCTCTTCTTTTCCACTGTCCCTCTAGAACACTTTAGGTAAACAAGAAACCAGTACATACCATTTCGGGTATAGGTACTTCTAACTGTGTACCACAAGGTGCTTGAATTGCTAGAAGTGTGTCTCCTGGTTAAATAGCAATTTTTAAGAAAGTGTTAAGTGTGCACATTTTTCTTAAGTCTTGCATGGTATCCACTCAAATGAGATATGGTAATTCTCTAAGGTCACTTCAAATACTGCATAATTCTAGCATAAATAAACTTGTGGTGGGACTTGCCCTATAAGATCCAAGTATATCCTACAATATAAATCACAGAATTCCAATACTTAGACCATAGTTGCAAGAACTTTTCTCGTAGCAGTACATGATTTACCACGTCCTTTACCTGTTTGTTACTGTCCCCAGAACTCCTAGTTGTGTATGTAATCAGGTGAAAATACTTAACTAGTTTCTTTTTCAGCTAAACCAGCTCTCTGGTCCAGCTCACTTTATGGCTTTGAAGAACGGTGGTAGTACAGAGAGATTTAACAGAAGGAAGAAAAGGACTTAATGATTCTCTTCAGTGCCAGCGCTTTCCAGTGTCTAAGCTCATAGCTTCTGTAGCACGTACAACTGGGATGTTAACAGCTGGCTATCAAACTCACCTGTGGCTTACTATGCACACTAAAATGTGTTGGTTAAAGTCAGGAGATCACAGTTACATCAACAGCACTGGCACAACCTGACTTACACTGCAGGCTCCTCACCTACCTGCACATCGTTTCCCCTTCCTCCGTAACTTGGAATAATGCTTGTCTTTCCCTGCCTTCTAAGAGATACTTACATGAAGTACTACGTGATTGGCGTACTAGGTGCCCCACATTTTGTAATGAATAATTCTTTTTAGTAATAGCTCATTTTGTTAAACTCCACATGTCTAATCATGCTTTTTTATTCAAAAACAAACCCAGCCTTCCTTGTGGCAAAGAAGAGCAGGTTCCAAGCCTAGCTGGAGGCTGATCTTCCCTTGGGTGCCCCACAATCACTAGAGGATGTCAAGAGAAGTAACTTCTGCCAGCAATTCTTGGCAATTTCTTCAAACCTCCTGTACAGAAGGAATTCTTCTGATTTAGTAGCAATGCCCCATCACTGAACTTCAGCTGGCTCCATTTATATAGCATCATCAGGAGCTCCCTCTGGCCACAGCTGCCACCAGAGAATGTTACGAAACTTGGACCTGCCTGGTCTTTCTGGTGGGTTGGACCAGCATGTTCTGTGCCTGGTTCCATTAACAGCCTCAGGCAAACTGCTGCAAAGTATGAATACAGAGAAAGACATCCAAAACCTGTACTCCAAAAACAGCTGAGCTTCCATTCCATACAACCTGCGACCACAAACAGAAAATGCCAGAACTTGCTAGTCATGAACATTATGAGAGACATCTGCTCAGTACAGATCACTACTGAATACTTCTAAATCCAAAATACTTGCAGGGAAAACGCAGGTTAGTTAGCAAGTTAGTTTTCAAGAGGAAGATAAGGAAATCCCTCACTTTAAGAAATACAGCCTAGCAGAAATACAGCCTAGCAGCAACTTACCATTGAAGCAGTTGCAGATATCTTCATGGGTGACATATGAAAACGTAACTGATGTCAAGGAACATTTTTCTTAAAGCAACACAAAACTGGTATTTGCTGGCCCTTAAAAGCAGTTTGTTCAAACTGAGCCTAAACTATAAACTTATTGCTGTTACTCAGAGGCGTAACCAAGGTATGATTTTTGGCTTTCAGAATGGCTAGATGCAGATAGTAGAGTTCTGTCTCTTAAAGAAAAAAAAAATCTGTATCTGTGAAGAAAATATAAAGAGAAAAAAGTTGTGTAGCTTGGATGAGAGAAGATTCTTCTAAAAAAAGAGAACATGTAAAATCTTGTTTTGAAGAATACCATTTACCTCACTAACTTGACACTACAGAGTTGAAGTACGTATCAAGCCTTCCCAGAATCACACAAAAGTACTGCCAGAGGGGACTTGAGAGTTTATCTGCTGTCCTGTTTCCCCGCCTCAAGGTAGGATCAACTGTCAAGACATTCCAGACAGACACCTGCCTCCCCTCTTCTGGAAAACCCCCAGTGATGGATATTCCACCACCTCCCTGGGTGGTCAGTTCCAGCACTAACTCTCCCAAAGGAAAGTTTCTCCTAAGGTCTAACTTCAATCTCCTTTCTACAAAATCAATTTTACAGAACAGCTTCTGTAGAGCAACTGCAAGCAATATTTAAGTACTTATCACTGGTGCTATAGATAAGAAGGGCACTTTTCTGCTCCAAATCTCAGGTGTCTATTTTGCTCATAATCTTGCAAGACAGCTAAACACACAGTTACAAGCAATGTAGCCAGAACTCTCTGCTCATGGGGTATTTACACACAGGATATTTTTCCAGTTCCAAACCCACCAACCTCCTGGACTTCGTCAAATCAATTTATCTCTGGGTGATAGCTTAATCTTTTTCAAGAGAAAGAAGCAACCCAAAGAGAGATTCATGTAAAGCACTGCTAAGAAAGTATAAATTCAAGCACTGGAGAGCAATACAATTCATTTAAAATAAGACACCAGGATTATACCATGGACTTAAAAATTACTGCCATATACACATATATATATATGTGCGAAATTATTTTCAGTTTACCAATCATGCAGTCACAGTGGTTAAAAAGTCATGTAAATAAGATTAATATTTTCCTCCTTTTTGAATCAAAACCAGAAAAAAAAAAATTGCCTTTGCTTGATTCTGGATAAAATAGATGACATTATGCTTTACCAACTACCTACACTTTAACTGTTGCTTTAATTCTAGTTCCAAGATGCACACAATTCATGTAAAAGGATATTGGTGGTTTGTAGAATCATCCATTACATTCTTGATACTTTGCTGAAGCCACAGTTTCTGCTGATCCAATTCTTTTTCTTTTAGCTCTAGGTCTTCAATTTCAGCTTCCAGATACCTCAGCCTGTCTATGACTTCTTTTGTATTGCAGCCAGCACCTACTCCTCTTAAAAAGGCATAAGGGTTCATGAAACCACAAGAAGTGAAAATCTGAAGCAAACACGCAAAGATAATTTCTTAACACTACTTTCGACATTTTGAAAATCTACTAATATTCAATATGAAGGAAATGAGTGTTTACTCTCCCAGCAGTACTTTAACAGAACAATTAAAATTCTTCAAATCAAATTCAAAATTCCCATTTACCTATGTTCTTTTGGAATTTAGCTTCTTCTGCATTGGAACTGGTTTGCAGGCTCTTTCTCCCTCCCCTCTAACTCTTAGCTTGAGCTTTCACCTTCAGTGACCCAAGAGCAAATAGGCACGGCCTACAGGCAGGTAGGTAGGTGGAGACACCGTGTCCCAATACCCCTCCCAGGTTCATCTACAAGTAAATTTTTCAACTACAAGTGCTAGTTATAAAGTAGCAGTACAAGTTTTCCGAGTTTCTCTCCTGTATGCTTTAAACCTGATTTTATATATCAAAGACGGAAGTTACAAGGAAGACAAAGTTCGTTTGCAACTTTACTGTGATTCTAATTTGCTCACTGATGAGTGTAACATTAATTTTATGGTGTCATAACTAGTCAGGAGAAGTGGAAAGAGGCAATTTTTGTTGCTCCTGAGCATGTGAGAATTTGCAGAATTGACACGGCTTACTTCCACTGAATGCTGTTTTTTGACTTCTTCTCAATGAGATCAATCCCCTCCAAAACGTTGGTGATATCATAGATCCTCCTCTTCTGCCTCACAGCAAGGGTATCAGCAGCCTGTCAAGAGAAGAACTGGTATCAGCAACTTGCATGCTGAGGGCAAAAGATAGGTAAGCCCTTCTCTTGGAAAAGTGCCAGCTAATGTCATTTGGAAGGGTGAAGGTTCAGCTCTTCAAGAGCCAGACGCTCAATCACAAGTTCGGTAGCTCAGCAGCCGCATGCAGTGCTACAAAGCCTGCCGAGAGGAGTCACCCCTTTGACAGCCAGCAGGCCCACCCTCGTCAGAAAGCAGAGTTCACGAGCGTTGCAAAGACCGCATTTGGTATTTAGAGCACATGCTATTCGACTGCACGGAGGAGCCTGCAATGCTCTTTTTGGAAGGTAGGAGAAAGCAGGGAAGGCAGACAGCAATGACGCGTGCAGTTTATCACCCCTTCCGCTGACACCTGAGGTACTGCAGTCTTTGTTTGGATTCAGCTGTAACAGGATACGAAATGACAGGGCTGTAATTTCACGAAGCGGCTGAAGGAGAGCTGCAGTGCTTCAAACCAATGTTGCACTGTGCGAATCTACCTCGCAGCGTACCTGGGCTCGCTCAGTCTGTCACACCGAGTACCAAGAGCCGTTTCACAGCCACCGGGACCCTGGTACAGCTCACAGGGGTGCTTGCTGCTGTCACGCTATCACTTTTACGTTACAGCGAGCAAGGCCGTGTGTCTGCGTGCTGTCACAGCTGTCAGGCAGAGGAAACAGTCTGCTTCGTGCCATCATTCTCTCCACGGTGATTTCTATGTACCTGATACAAAAACTTCACATAAAATAAGCAAACTTGAGCTAGTCATGCCTTCCAGACCCTCATCTCTGACGCTGTAAAGCTGCCCAAGTTCAAAGAATATTAGCTAAAATGAGAGAAAGCAAAGAGAAGTTTGACTCTAACTACTCAGGACTCTCAGATACAATGATTAGAAGGGATTTCATGTATTAAACAGATTAAAAGAAAAAAGAAGAAAAACAAAGAGAAGGATAGCTGCCAAAGACTTCTGCATCCCAAATTTGAACTAACGCGTAAAGCCAACTAATTTCCACTGTAGGCAAATTATGATTTATTTCAGTTTGTCCCACAATCTATCAAATTAATGCTTTTAGTAAAGTAGCCTATATGAAGAGTACAACCTGAGGCAACCACAAATAGGAAGGAAAACCAAATCCATTTTACAGCAACCACGTAACTCCTTTTACAGTATTTTCTGAACCGTAAACAAATCCACTAATCTTCCAAAGAAATGACACTTTCCGATTAGCAAGTTAATTAGTAGGACTTAGTAGTCCAATTCATACTGGTGAATGTTTTCCTAGTGAAGTAAAATTACAGGATAAAATGTATGAAGAACGGAGATTTAAAAAACCGCTCTTGTAGCCATGAAGGATAAATACTGCTCTTTCTCCTTGACAGTGACGTACCTACCACACAGTGTTTCTACTGATACCGTTACCAACATTTATCTTTTGCATGGTCTTCTGTAGCAGTCTATTAAAATCTTTTCCTATCTAACAAAACAAAATGCATACAAATACATATAAAGCACACACTTTAGTTCTCTCTAAGGAAACAGGCTCTTCAATCACTTGTATCAGCAGGTATGTGCCTGCTGTCTTAACCTGCTATTTTTGCTGCATGCATACACCCTGCTTACGACGACTGCAGGAGAAGCCTTCAAAATCTAGGAAGTGACAAAATTGATGCCACCTGCACAACAGTCAACACCCTGTGGATCTCACGGTCTTCAGAGGCACAATTTCTATAAGCTCTCTGCATTATTCAGTGCCAGGAATGGACAGCACACACTTAATCTACTGCTATTCTGATTAATTACTTCCTACTTTTCTCCCGTTGCTCAACATGGGGACCTAGGACTTAGTCTACTGCTCACAGTTTGAACGATGAAGAAACTGCTCTGGAGACAGATTTCACTACCTCATAATATTTTCCAAAATGCCTGGCTGTACAATATATAAATGCTTTACTAATCTTCATGGATTTTCAAGCCAAAGTTTAAGATTAAAAACAAAAAAAAAATCACTAATGAGTGTCCAGCTTCAGTTGTTTCAAAGTTTGAGTGGTCTCAGTACTCTAAGTTCTATCACATTTCGTATGCCCGAAGCAGAGGTCCCATTAACATCAGCAGCAGAGATTCACTACTGCAGCAAAACAGGCCCCAGAACCCCAGGTTAGGGACTGAGAAAATGAAGGACACAGTCACATACATATTTGGCTTGACCAGCACTGAATATAATTCAATCACAGCTACAAAGTTAACTACTTAGAACAAGAACTTCAACAGTGAAATCAAACCAGGGCCAGTGTGGAAAGTTTAATCCAGACACTCGCTAACTTTCTGGTGCTGGTCTTATAAGCTAACTATCTTCTCAAAATTTTATGGGATGTTTCACAGGTATTTTAAAACACAATTGAAAAGTTCCTCCCCAACACTCCAGCAGTTCCCAATGTAACACCTTCTAGTAGGCACGTGGATCAGAAATTCCGTTCAAGCATTCAGTTCCTCCACACATACCACGCACTAATGACTTCAATAATTAAAAAAGCCTCCTGAGACTTTTAAACAAATCTCCTGTTGTCAAAAACACTTTTAAAACTCATGATTTCTCAGCCTATATCAAATGGTTGAAGCAGATCCAGGCAGCAGAAGAAAAGCACATCTACCACAATGGCCCTGCTAGGACGGCTGGAAGTAGCTTACACGTTCCTTCCTCTGAATCATTTGTATCTGGAGTTCCTTCGTAAAATCTTTTTAATGTAAGGCTGCTGCACTCTAGCCATTCCTTCTAGGATTTCTTCATACTTTGAATACGTACGTATCCAAGACAAGCACTATATCGGTGTCTCATAGACATCTTCTGAACTGGAAGAAAAACACCTAAACACAGGGCTTTGGTTTTGCGTGTATCCAGATTGTGCAACTTCTGGAATACAGAAATGCACTGTTCAGCAGTTTCAGTTGCAGGCATGCGCGCGCACACACACAAACCTGCCCCAAAATAAAAACAGGACAACCAGAAAAAGGACAATTGAGAGTTTAGATGCATTCTCACGCAACTTCTTCTTTGCTGCCTAGGAGCTGGACAAAAGGCAGCTGGAATTACAGCTGCACGTTTGCTGCGTTAGCGCTGAGGAGCAGAGGAATTCGCTAGAGCACCGTGGCAGAGTCAGAACCAAGACGCTTAACAAAGCAGAAGGGCCAGCAACGCCTGCTTGCTCTCCTCATGCCACAGGGAAGCGGTCCTGCATCTTCCAGACTGTGCCCGTAGCAGATGACAACGCCTTCTCCCCAGGAGGACTGTCAACACTTCGGCGGGAGTTTTAAACTGAACAGTGTGCTTGGCAACCTGTATGCAAAAGTACTGAGTATCACTGTATGCATAAAGGTTAAGGGAATGTAAAACGTAATAGACACACTTTTTCTTCTTCTGTGGAATAAAGCAAGTGTTAAGGCAGTTATTTGCTCCTGATCAATACATTTCTAAAGGTAGCAGCAAACAAGTAGATTTCAGAGTACCTGATGTTTAGCACTGATTATCAGAAACACTACTTCACTTTGAGTACAGCAGGGATGGCATTCTACTAGAAACCAAGCCCCTTTCAGAAATCAAGGTAGAAGCAATTGTATGCTACTGAAAAGAGAGAATACGCGATGTTTTGGGAGTCATTTCAGGTGGCTTATCCCTTATTCACACAACTTGCTCTTTTTCTCTCTTCCCTGCATTTTTGTTCTTTCCCTTCCATCTCACCCCTTACTGTTTTAAGCTTACTTCCGTAACTAGATTTGTTTATGCAGGGTTTGTCTGATTTTAAAGCAAGCACTGCAGAATTCAAATTCCAAGTAGAGAAAATCCTCACTTCCACTCCCACGGACTGTCAGATGTTAGAAGAGAAGCGTCCAGCGCTAAAACACCTCCAAAAACAGTTCAGCATCCAGAACTCACAGGGCTCCCTAACAGTGCCCCACACTGATGATGTATTGCTACTGCTTCATGATGGGTCAGCACACATGTCCCAAAGTATCCTCTTACAGACCGCTTAACTATAATTATAGATGTATCAAAAAGTCACCAGGAAATGTCCTGTACAACTGCTTTTCACTCTCAACTGCTAAATCGCAAAGCCAGAAGTACGCTTGATGTTTCCAAATTGTGTTTTCTTCATAGTACACTGCTGGTTTTGCTACAGAAATACTGGTCAGCAGGACAACATCAGATGGTCAATACCTGCCAGGAGGGAGACATCTGGAGATGTTCACTGCATGAATCACTTCTTGAAACGCTCTGTTCTGTTTCAACACCGTCCTGGTCCTGGTTCTTCAGTTCCCTGAGCACACCGACATAATGTGCATGTTGGCTGTCATTTTTCCTTAGAGATGTGGCTTATTTATGAGAAACATTGGTTACAGAAATGTACGTTCTGACTAATTGTTTATGAAAGTACCAACAATTTACTCACTTCAGTCAGTATTTACTTTCAACAAACGGTATCCTCTAATTCCCAATAAAGGTCTTCAGCAGAAATGTCTATGATTTGTTCCAATGCGTACTTACTTTTCCCTGGCTATCAACCCTTCAGCTCCTTCTGGGTGGATACCTTCCCCACAGAAGGGAATGAGAAACGTTGTCCGATCCCTCTACACAGCCCAACTTTATTGTTCAAATCCATCCTCTTTGGCTTTTTAAGCTAAGCTTTTTGGCCCAACGTCTTACAAATTGAGTAGGGTTTGCTTCTCAAACTGACCTGGAAAATGTCACAGCTCATAACAGACAATAAATTAAGCTGCACAACAATCCCTGAGATGTGGACAGCTTAGTTCCGTTATACTAAGAAAAAGAGTCAGTTAAATGTAAAGAGGTTAATCAATGTGTACAGACCACAGCACAACTAATGGAGTACAAAACCTATCCAGTATCCTTCCCAGCTCACCCTGAAGTCTCAATAGCCACTGTACCACCACGGAAGCGCTTGCTCTCTGAACAAGGATGCACAAAAAGGCTCCAAGAACGCCGCTCACCTGCTGTAGCCCGCTAAGAATAATCAACAAATAAGGTCAGTTTTCCAGAAAGGACTTCAAGTAAGCATAACTCCTCAGCAGTTCGCCGAGGGCCTTGAACCACCCAGGCCGCACGCCCTTGGGAGAGCCCAAGGCCTGTGTCCCAGGCTGGCACCAGGCAGCCCGCCCGCCATCGCTGCCCAACGCCCTCATGCCTCGGAGGTGGTGGGCTGCAGCGCCTGTTATTCACCGCCCACTCTGCCAACGAAGCATCTTCTGTCTGTATTCAGAAAGTACTGAAAAGGCAACGGTCTGCTTTCCAACAGCGTCTTCCCTTGCGAAAAGGGCGTCGAGGGGGACCGGTGAGCACGGCTGTCAGTAACGGCTGGCGCACCGAGCCAGCGCGGCCAGCAACGCAGCAGAGGGACAAATCAACAGCGGAAAACCCAGCGCTACATTTCACCACGGTAACCGCTTCAACAAGGGCCGGAACGCGCACTCCAGC